CTCTCCAAATTCCGGTTCATCTAATCGAGAAATAGAGCTTCGGATATCAATTTAACACTGTCTTAGAGGCGTAAAATACTGCGCTCCAGCGTCACTTATCTGACCCACGGCGAAAACAAACACTTCCTCTCCCTCCCCTACGCCGGGCGTTATGCATACGGGCCCTACACTGCAGGACGTGTTACTGAATGCTGAGTTCAAATCTGCTCTCCAAATTTGCCAAGCGTTTCTCTGAACGGAGTTATGAGGGTGGTTTCAGGGAGCTTAAGATGAGAAAGCTTAAATTACATGGATGTACCTCATCTCCCAATGGCGGCTTGGTGTAGCGGTAAGCGTGAGCTCCATGTGCGAGAGAGTTGAGTTCGGGTTTTGTGGTTGACGGAATTTTTGCATTATATAGAATTTTTCCCTTAAGAGCCAGAAAATACTTTCATAGTGATTTTATCGCGTTCTATGACTTTTGAAGCTTTGTTGGTACCTTCTCCTACCTACCTACCTACCTGCTACCGAGAAGGAGACTCCGTGCGCAAAATTTGGAGCTCCGGGCGAGTAAAACGCATATGATGAGCAATGATGATGCTAGAGTGGGTGTAGATGCTAGATCGGGTGCGATGGTGCGTAGCAGCTCCAGACTCACCAACACTTTCACTGTTGATAATAAAGTCGTGGACATCATTCAAAGACCAGAAAGCTATTCAATGCGTCTTACCTCCACAAAAGAGGGTGAAGGGAATGACACCCAACTCTAGGCTACCACGAGGCTAATACAGCCGAAAGAAGCTCAATGCCTTTTAAAAATATGGTTAAACGCACCACCTCATATGAAATACTCATGCTCTCAATTTTTGCGTGTACACACGTGAACCCCATTCTTCGCTTACATCGTTTCTACTTTCAGTTCTATGCTGTAAGATTTAGGAAATTTCTCCTTTATTTATGGTAGGCCGCAAACTACTTAAGTACTCACCCGGGTGATTTCGGGACGCCTACACAATTCTGTTTTCAATCCGATTTAGGGTTAGTAAGTGTAAAGCAATGGGCTGTGACGAGTTCTTTTCCATCCGTTGCTCTCATTGTGAGAAGCTTCTTTGTTTCAAGCATTTCGTGCTAGAGTATCACATTTTCAGTTCATAAAATGGCAAAAGTTATCCTACTGTAAAGGTAGAGTGCGTGGGCAGGCCAGTAAAACTGAAGTATTACATTATGTGGATAAATATCAACAAAAGCATTAAAAGGTCATAAAACGTGATCAAATCACCATGAGAGTACTTTCTAGTCCTTAAGGGAAAATTCTATATAATGCAAAAATTCTGTCATCCATAACCCCCCCCCCCCCTAGCCTCTCGCACTTGAAGCGCCACGCTTACCGCTACACCAAGCCACCATTGAGAGATGGGGTACATCCATGTAATTTAAGTTTTCTCATGTTAAGCTCCCTGAAACCACCCTCATAACTCCGTTCTGAGATTCCGGAGAGCAGATTTGGACTCAGCATTCAAAAACACGTCCAGCAGTGTAGGTCTCATTTCAAATGGTCACTTCGACTTGGGATCCTTCCCTGGTAAGTCCACCAGCAGCTCGAGGAGGATACGGGCATCAGGGAGTCTCAGGACGAGCAGGGAAACTAGGCGGCCGCGGGGACGTGTAGTATTCGTAATGAGTACTCAATTCCTAAATACATATACTTGTATATTTCGCACGCACGCCAGAATGAAGGTAGTGGGCCCGCAGCAGCGAAGGCAATGGGTGCCACAATCCTTTTATAGCAGTGCCCTCAACGCAGATATTCTCGCATCATCGCGATCTGGGGGCGTTGGGAAGGACCGCCTAAGCGCATGGCTTGACGATAACATCTTTTTAACGCTTTTCGAAGCTTGAGAGTGAAACCTACTTCTAACTACTTATCGAAGGCGGCTTCTTAGTAAGTTGATTGAAAAAAAGAAAACTCGAGTGCCATATGATAATTATTCCGCTTTAACAAATGCTTATACAGAAATACAAAAGGCTGGAATGGAAGAAAATTTGGAATATACTTAACAACTAACAGTTTTGAACGCGAAGAGCAAGGAGCTACCGAAGAAAAAGTTGTTTATCTGGAAGAAGATAGGGAATAAGAAGCGATGCTTCGCCGCACGATGTTTGAACTTTTAATGATTTAGGATGTTACGCAATAACCTCGAAAAAAACCGGGATGATCGGCGGCCACGAATAGAGCAAGATGGGTGAACACTCTTTGTAGTAGATGCAAGTTTTTCTGTATTAATTGCTTCAATAAAAGTCACAGACCATGTCATGCATAGCTTGCTTTCAATGTTTTTATTTTACTTGCTTGTTGATCGCAATATAAATGTCGAAGTTTGAAGTAGGCCCAAAATTTGTGAGACTCAGAAAAGCTGTGTGAAGATAGAGCATATTTGATCATTTTATGAACCATTCTGTTTATAGCTTGTTTACTGTTTGATCTGTATTATAAACAAAAAAAATCACGCACTCCCCAAAAAAAATGCAAAATGAGCGCAGGATATATTGGTCCCGCGTCGTCGAACGTGGCTGTAAAACGCGGGACATATGTGTCCTCCGTTGTCGCGACGTCTCAAAGATAGTTTAACAGGAAGTAGCGCGAGCAAACACTTAGTGGTACTGTAATGTCACTCTAGATCACAGTGGGCTGCGTAGGGCACGAATTTGGCGGGGTGACCTAGGTCCGACGGACGTTAGAAACGGACGTTCCCCACATTCGACTGCGAAGAGGGGGGCTAGTGAATTGTAATGAACCATGCTGAAAGGATTAGGAACCGATCTTGCTTGACTAATGGAAGCCACTGGTAAGTTTTGGTTTGAAGAACGTTGCCTTTCTGTGGAGAATGCGAATCGTGAGAAAAAACAGAACAGCGGCAATATCTTCCAATGCTATTGAAGGACTCAGAGAGATTGAAAAGTTCACTAACCTATAAGGCGCCATGCGAATCTTACTGCAAGATTCGATAATTACAGCGGCACGAACTCCCACATGAAGGCGTAACTCATGGGAGTTATGAATACGTAACTGTTGTGCGGTGGCAAATATCTGAGACCTGAAAAAATCGAGTACCGAAAAAGTCAGCACATTGAGCGACTATGTGATGTTCATTTTACAAGAGGCCTTAACTCACGACATGAAAAGGACTTGGCTGATGGTCACCAAACGACCACAGTAATTGAGAGGCCCTGCTTAAGCGGATGGGAGAGACTAGACAGTGTCAAATATGCCCGCTATCTGGTGGTGAAATGTCACTCCAAGGATACGGATAGTTAGCCGAAAGTGGAAGGTATCTCTATTGTGCCCTTGTCCTATGAAAGAAAAAAAGGGTTATAGCAAACTGTTTCTGTAGAAGAATGTCTTGAACGAAGCATCGAATGCCCTTCACAACGAAAGGCATGATGCGATGCAGATTCTGCGTAGAATATGAGTGCATAGTTCATCACTGCTCATCATTTAGTATTGGTACTTCCTCTGATATCCGTTCTTGTATTTTGTCGGCCTGAGCCCCGAGCGATAGCGGAACGTCTGGGCCACGGGACTTGTGCTTTCTAGAGAAACTCAAGTATTATAGTAAACAACTCATTAATTCAAAACCATGATATCGTCGATACCTACATTTGAGTAGGTACCACCATAGAAAAAAAAAACAGGATTTTCAGTTTGGAGGGGCAGCCCTCGGTTATGGACAAGCAGTGGGTGGCGATGTACGTTCGATCTCCGGTTGAAAATTCCTCACTGGGCAGAATTCACTATCCAAAATTGGAAAAAAGGAAAGAAAAAGTAAAAAATAGAGAATAGGATAACTACGATTAGAGACTCACCCAGTGCAATCATACATGAGAATTGATGTTTCAACAGGGAGAAACACTAGCTTACAATCATGTACTCCCTAAAACTCACTGAACAATAGGTATGAAAAGTAAATAGAACTGCAACATTTTGAAAGTCACACCTGAATATGGACAGTTGATGGACGAAAGACAAACGAAAGTTGACAGTTCTTTATATTCTTGAGCTTGACATCAAAACCGTCTTTACCCGAGATGACTTTATTTTCCCCAACCTGAACACTAGGTCAAATCAAAAGAAATGAACATCAAAATGGAATCAGTCAAACTAACCAAATTCAGTAGTTGAATAGCATTTGCTGGAACTTCATTGGCAGCTATGGGTGCAGATCTGGATGGAGATGGCGTTGGTGAGTGCTTTGCAGACGATGCTGCCAAAGGCTTCTTATCAGAAACCTTCAAAAAAGATTGTACGCATTGAAGAAATGATGGCTTACCCTAGCTTTGATTTACGCTCAGGGCCAAGCGTGATGTGTCGGAGGGGCCCTGGAATATCCTACTTTATGTTATTCGCTAAGTGTGTCTGTTGGTGTGTGTGTGTGTCGGTGTGTGTGTTTGACTGGAAATTCATAACTCCTGTTTCCGTGGACCTAGAATGCTCAAATTCGTTAGCAGTACAGGGGGCAGCATGGGAACACTTATGGCAGTGGCAGGACCGGACTCCGCCCACAGGGGGCGGGACGTGCAATTCCAGGTCGCAAATTCATAACTCCTGTTCCAGTGGACCCAAAGCGTTCAAAATTGGTAGGAGTATAGGGGCGGCATGGAAACACTTATGGCAGGTAGTAGTCCACACTCCGCTCACGGAGGCGGGGCGTGCGCGATAGAAATTTTGGGTCGCAAATTCATAACTCCTGTTCTCGTGGATCTAGAAAGCTCAAATTTGGTAGCAGTACAGGGGGCTGTTTGTAAACACTTATGGCATGTGGCAGGACTAGACTGCGCCTACAGGGGACGGGGCGTGTGCGATAGAAATTTTAGATCGCAAATCCATAACTCCTGTTCCAGTGGACCCAAAGCGTTCGAAATTGGTAGGAGTACAGGGAGCAGGGTAGGAACACTGATGGTGATAACAATTAACAGGAGTTGATAAGGAGCCTTGAAAGACGAGAGCCACCGGAACCGTTATTTACTTCCTGTTAACGGCAGAGCTTTGGCACTTCGGAAAACAGTTAGAGACTGATAGAAACTGACAGGAGGTGAGAGACAATAAGTCTACAACGTCTTTCATACTAACAACTGAGCATTCCAGTAGATAGTGCAGGATGTAAAGGGGCCGAAGTTAATTAGGGATAAGGACAGATAGTAACAAGCGAGCAAGCGTTGCAATCCCCTTCGTGTCAACAGTGGAACCTTTCCAAAAACGGCAATCTAGGATGTGACGTTGTCGTAGGTACTCTGTGGCAGGAACTGATAACAACTGATAAGAACTGATAAGGGGCCTTAGAGAGCAAAAAGGTAATTATGATCAAACACTGACGCTTTCATGCTGTAAATGCTGTAATAGCGACCGATCAAAGACATTTCTCCATAACGAAATGAGAATTTTGTTCAATTCTTGCTATTAAACTACGACCGTTATGCAGTCAGCTTTGTGACACAATGAAGTACCACGGTTTCTCTCTGTTTTGTGACATATCATTTGTGACTAAACTCATCTGACCGCTGATGTTTTGGGATCCCAATTAATGAAAAATCCGTGGAGAAAATGTTCCATTGATAATGACATCTGTGATAGGCGTTATTGTCCATTTCTGGGTACCATTCAAGACATTGGTTGTCAATCAGTTAAGCCATCAATGTGACACAATTTCGAGATGAAGAGCAATGAATCGACACCTCTAATTAATATATAATTAATTATAATACAGAAAAAATCGCTCCCGATTCGGAGCTAATACTGAGGGTGTAGAGCTTCCAAAGAAAAAGGAGATTCCGAAGTGTTATTTACGCATAGCAATTCTCTCAGAGGAAGGAAGAGCGCCCGGCCAAGCCGGGCGACACCATAAGAAGGAGGGAAGCTCGGCGTTAGCCGGGCGGCAAGACTGGTATAATATATATAGCCATGTACCATGGTTATATATAAAGCAGAAATCATCCGTCCTTATGTCTGTTGGTCTGTTTGCCTACTGATCTGTTTATCATCACCTCATGTGGTGTCTTCCTGAAATAGAAATGGAACAGACTAGCCAGGTCGGAACAAGTGGAGAGTGCTTGGGAACACATCTTAGTTAGGCTCCATCGACGGAGGGATCAACGTGCCATAAGAGGTACTTGGATGGAAGTGCTTGGTTAGTTTTCTCCTGCACCCGAAGCGTTTGGATTTGGAAGGAGTACAGGCCGAAAGATGGGAACCCTGAAGGAGGAGGCAGGACGTCGGCGCACATGGGTAGGGGCATGCACGAAAATTGCTACTTCCGAGCAGAGGGTTCAAATTTGGAAGGGATGCAAGCAGCAGGAAAGAATCTGACCAGTCGGGTCGCCGGTTGTGGCTGGACTTCCCTCCTTCTTATGATAGAGTTGTAATAGTCGGCAAGCCGCCCGCTTACTTGAAACTAATGAAACTTTTCGGAACACGAAACTTAACAGAGGACTGATAGGGCATGCAGTTGCTATTCAGTCTGTGCCGATGCTTACGCCTATGATTATAAGTCTTGATCTTTTGCTTGTTCATCCTGTAAATAATAACCCATTAAAGGCTTAACTGGCCCAAATAAAATATTTTCGCTGACGCCACGCCCCTTGTAGGTGGTGTCTAGTTCCGCCATCTATCTTAAGTGTTCCCACCTCCAGTACTTCTACCAAATTTCAGCGCTCTATGTCCGATTCGACACTTTTTGAGCAAGCTCCGTCCCCGAGGGCGACATTTAGTCCTCCCACCAATAATCAGTATTCCCTTTTTGCCTTCTGTGCTACTACCAAATTTTAGCGCTCTAGGTCCACGGAAACCGGAGTTATGAATCTCCGATCAAAAACACACACGTACACATACGCACACACACATACAAACCAACAGACACACTTAACGCGTCACATATACATATGTATACAGGGTGTCCCAAAATTATTGGCGCCGATTTATAGCAAACATTTGAAACTTCTCAGCTGCGAAAGACGATGGAATTTCTATGCACACCAGCTAACACTATGTGCTACAACAAGCCACAGTCGCATTTCAAAATATCCCCCATGAGCGCGGATAGTAGTCAAAGATTGCTCTTGACTTGATCGCATGTGGCACGCAGGTATCCTTCTTCATTTCTTCCCAGCCGTTCTTCATCCCTTGCATTCTAGGACTCTGAACTGGGACTGCAATCCGACAGGTCCTCTTCTAATCAGGAACCATTCGTGGGAGTCAGTGAGTCAAGTTCTGGAAAATAGGATGACCATTCCTCTTCACCAATGAAGTCGGGCAGCTGTCGTCGGCACCATTTGCGGTGTGGGCTGGAGTAGCGTCCAGTCGGAAGGACTACGAGATGTTTCGGAAAACGTAGTGGGACCTCATCAGTACGCCGTTTGAATACCGGTCTTGGTCAATTTTAACGCCTGCACCAACGAAACCACGAGCGGCTTTCCCTTACCAGTGATTTCCTCGAAAAACAACGTTTCACTGTTCTTACAGCAACCTTTTTGTGAGCTACTACACGCTAGATGTTTCTTTCCGGAACGCAAACGTCTCGGTTGTTTAGGAATACTTTTATCAAAAAATTTGGCTAGAGAAAACGACGAAGGGTTGTGTGTCATCACTCAAGTGNCCGGTCTTGGTCAATTTTAACGCCTGCACCAACGAAACCACGAGCGGCTTTCCCTTACCAGTGATTTCCTCGAAAAACAACGTTTCACTGTTCTTATAGCAACCTTTTTGTGAGCTACTACACGCTAGATGTTTCTTTCCGGAACGCAAACGTCTCGGTTGTTTAGGAATACTTTTATCAAAAAATTTGGCTAGAGAAAACGACGAAGGGTTGCGTGTCATCACTCAAGTGGGTCTGTGAGTTACTGCATTTTTTGGCCCTTCAGTGTCTGTTGAGATCGGAACTGAAGCGAAATTTCTGCATAGGATAGGAATGACAGTGAAGCTTCTGCATAACATTCTTCCATCGCGATAACTCATGTAAGCCGTGCCTGTTGACCTCCTTTTGATGGGTCACCCAGGATCCCGACCGATTGGCAGGCGGACCATTTTAATAGTCCTATCTTCAGAAACATTCTACCTTTCTAACTTTCCTGGATTGTCCCTGATTCAATCTTGTTTTCTGCATCATTCGATGGCCTCCTATACGGTTATTCTAAAAATTTCAAAGAATTTCATAATGCCCTTCCACCATATAGTAGGATGGTAGGCAACAGGATTGGACATTATGCTCTGGAGGTGGGGTTGACCAAAAAAAAACTGTTTCTGAAAGCTAGAGCATTTGAATTAGAAGGGATACAGGTGGCAGGATTGGGCTAAGGGGAAGCGTAGAATCCAGAGGCGGCGATTCTGTTCAGAAGCTTCCCAGGCTATGCACCTCTAATTTACAGCTTTGCTCCCGTCGGACATGGGGGATTCACGTCGGTAGGATTCACGATATGGTGATGTTGGCCTATACACCGATTTGTGATCTGTTATGTAATTGACCGATCAGTGGTCAGATAATTCCTTTTAGTGTCCTTAATGTACTACTCGATATGGGACTGCTGCTCACTACTCACTTTTTTCGGAAGTGTATGTGTGTGGTCGTACCCTCGGCTGAAAACTCGTTCTTCCTGCTTTCGTGGACCTAGAAGCTTCGAATTCGGTAGCAGACCAGACGGCGGATGGGAACACTTATGGTAGGTGAACAGGATTGAACTCTCTCTAAGGGGGCGGGGCGTACGTTAAAATTGTTAATTTGAACGTAGATTGTTCAAATTTGATAGGTGTAGAAGCGGCACTATGAGAATGCTGCCGGTAAATGGTACAACAAGACTTCACTCACATGGGTGGCGCTAGCCCGAAAATTGTCGGTTTGGATCAGGGCATCCAAGTATGATGGATGGATGGAGGTTCAGGAAGCAGTACGGGAATGGCTATGCCAGGTGACGCCAGTGAAGATGAAAGAAGAGGCGAACAAATCAAGTTACTTAAATACACATAAGTTGAACAGAATTCCGCTCATAACGGGCAAGGCGCTCACGAAGTATATGTGTGTGTGTGTGCTTGGCTGGAACTTCACAATTCCTGTTCTAGTGTACCGGAGCGTCCAAACTAGAGTTACATGCACGGCAAGCAAATTTCACTCAAAAAAGCTATCCGACTAGTAACATCAAAAACTACACTACGGCAAAAGCTACATAATTTTTGTGAGGCGACATTTTTTACTTTTCTAAACGAGAAAGCGATGTGGTGCATAACCAATGGAAAGTTGGAAATTCTGAATGGCTTTCCAGGCCTATATTCCTTCAAAGGAATCTGTCATAATGGAGGTGTATTAAAGATTTACTATTTTTTTAATGCTTTGGTAGATGCGAGGCTTGTAGGAAGGAGGGTTTTGAGAAATGAGAGAGATTTACTAGTAGAAAAGCCGATTGAAGGAGCTTCTTCAAATTTCGGTCATTCTTCTAGTAAATCCAGAATAAGATACGCGACGTCAGCCTTCTGTCATCTCCCAAAATCCTCTTCCCTACACCCTCGCATCTACTAAAGCATTGGAAAAATAGTAAATCTTTAATAATAAGATTAAAATGTTGAGGATGAAATCAACTTTGTGTTCAACGCCTTTCTACATCTTCTGCTGGGAAACAGGTTCATAACGAAAATAAAAATCTTCCAGTTTACAAACAAAATCTCTACAGAATTCTTCCATAAGTTTTTACAGCTTGTCTCAATGCATTTCACGTTTTCAGGTAGCATGCTAATCAAAGTAA